TTTCAAAATTTTTATCTCTTCATTCTTGATTTTTAAGGATTTCCCCATTGTTGACTTTAGCACCAGTTCTCTGGTTGATTGTTTTGTGAATTTTAAATAAGTTTCCCCTAGGAGTTTATTTTTCTTTATAAAGTCCGGATAAGTCCTGTATGCCACATCCATTTCCTTAATTAAGTCTTCTTGTTTGTAATCCATTAGTGGGGCCAAGGCAACTGCCAAGAGTTCCTTTAAGTCCTCATTCTTATCCTCAGGTATTCCATGGAAATGTAGAACATACATGGATCTTTCCAGCTGGAGCTGTATTAGTTGTGTTTTATCTGAGGATCTCTCCTTCTCTGCTTTATCCACTCTTTTATTAATACTCTCAGTCTGTTTTTCCATCTCTTTCAATGTTTTCTCAGTTGCTGTGGTTCTCTTGTCTATTTGCTTTAACTGTTTTTGCACATTGTCCAGTTTGGTGTTGAGAGTAGTCATCTGTTCCATTAGAGGGCACGGTGCATTTGCTAACAGCGAAGAAAAGTCTGTAGATGCTTCCTGGTTCTGGGAGGGAGTCGTTGGTATGTTATTTCCGGTCACCAGTTCTTACTCTGGCGCTCTCTATCCTCTCCCAGCCATAATATCAACAAGAAGTAAGTTTCCAAAACAAAGCAAAAGTTATACGTTTTAATTCCGCTTCACATATTTTAGCAGCTTTTGCGTTCACTTAACTTCTTATGCGCTTGATTTGGCTCAAAGTCGCTTTATTTTTGCTCTAAAACTGTTTTTTACAGTTTACTCCTATGGGGTGGGCTTGAAATCTCCTCCTACCGTGCTTCAAACTTAGGTGCTTCCAATTACTACCAAGGCTCCATTCGCTTATTTTTCACCTGAGCTTTGCTTAACTCACAGTCTGTAGCCTCGGAGATCTTTTGAAAGTCTTTTTTATGAGTTAGGTCATGATCGCTTGCTCCGGCAGTCGTCTCTAGGCGCCATACTGGCTCCGCGGCGACAGTACCTATCGGGGAAGAAGGTGAGCCTCAATTCCTCAGGCGTCCCCTTGGAAGAGGCTCTCTTCAGCTTCCCAGGCTGGGGGTCTCTGTAGGACAAACCCCTCCCGTCAGCTGGGTCTCGGCGCGTCTCCATCCGAGCGAGACGAGACACGTCCGGCGGCGAAATGCTTAAACCGTAAGTCCACTGGTGGACCTCCTGATGGCACCTGGTATTTTTGGCCACTGTGCATTGGACTGAATGGGCCATTTGCCTAATCCAACATTGGCTTCTCTTATGTTCTCTTATGCTCTTAGATCAGAGCTTGACAACCTGGCAGTTCAGTCTTATCCCAGATAACAGCAACACAGAAGCAACAGCAACAAGAACTATAGCAGCATCCTATATATAAGGAAATTTATCTGATGCAGTATTAAATATTAGTGCCCGAAGGATCCTTCTTACAGTGTCTGTCCAGCTCTTTGATGAACACTGCAGCGGAGGGACTCCCAGACTGACAATAAAGTTTACCATTGTGACAGATCTAGGAATGTCACATAAATGCCATATTCTGCTACCAGGGGTCATTTCGTAGAAAAAGAGCTAGGGGAACTCATTAGCATAACTTATTAGCATATGCCACACCCCCTGACATCACGGAAGTGTGCCATAAGGCCACACCCCCTGACATCACCGGAAGTGTGTCATAAGGCCACACACCTCGCCCCCAATGGTCCCGGCCGCTGCCGCCGGCCTTGCAGCTCCACTGCCGAGCCCCATGAGGGGCCCGGCGGTGGACCTGCAAGGCCAGCGGGAGTACAAGGAAGCTCCGCGAAGGCCCTCCCTGGCCCCAGGCAGGCAGGGGTGGGGAGAGGCAGGGAGGAAGCAACTTAC